GCCAGAACCATGCAGTTTTGATTACTATAGCTTTGTAGCATAATTTAAGGTCAGGTATTGTGTTAACTGAAGCTCTGTTCTTTTTGTTCAAGATTGCTTTAGCTGTTCAGGATCTTTTGTGGTTCCATATGAATTTTAGGATTCTTTTTTCTATTTCTGTGAAGAGTGTCATTGGTATTTTCTTAGAGATTACACTGAATCTGTAGATTGCTTTGGTAGTATAGACACTTTAACAATATTAATTCTTCTAGTCCATGAAGATGGGATATCCTTCTGTTTATTTGTGTCATCTTCAATTTCTTTCATCAATGTTTTATAATTTTCAGTGTGAAGGTCTTTCACCTCCTTGGTTAGATTTATTCCTAAGTATATATTTTTTGTAACAATTGTAGATGGGATTGTTTTCTTTATTTCTTTTTCAGATAGTTTACTATTGATGTGTAAAAATGCTGCTGATTTTTGTATGTTGCAACTTTACTGAATTTGTTTATTAGCTCTAGCAGTTTTTTGGTGGAATCTTTGGGTTTTCTATATACAGTGGACCCTTAAACAACACAGATTTCAAAAGTATTTTTATGTGGATTTTCTTCCACCTTTGCAACCACTGAGTCAACAAGACCAACCCTTCTTCTTCTTCTTCTTCTGTCTACTCAACATGAAGATGACAAAGATGTAGATGTTTATGATGATCCACGTCCACTTAATTAATAGTAGATATATTTTCTCTTTCTTACAATTTTCTTAATAATATTTTCTTTCCTTTAGCTTAACTTATAAGAATACAGTATATAATACATATAACATACAAAATAGGTGTTAATCAATGATTTATGTTATTGATCAGGCATCTAGTCAACAGTTGGCTACTAGTAGTTGAATTTTTGGTCAGTAAGAACTTATGCATTGATTTTCCAATGTGCAAGGGTTGACAAGTCTTTATTATTATTTTATTATTTTTATTTTTATTTGTTTATTATTTTTTGAGACAGAGTCTCGCTCTGCCGCCAGACTGGAGTGCAGTGGTAACATCTCAGCTCACTGCAGCATCCAACTCCCTGGTTCAAGTGATTCTTCTGCCTCAACCTCCCAAGTAGCTAGGATTATAGGCATGCACCACCATGCCCAGCTAATTTTTGTATTTTTAGTAGAGATGGGGTTTCACCATGTTGGCCAGGATGGTCTCAATCTCCTGACCTCGTGATCCTCTTGCCTTGACCTCCCAAAGTGCTGGGATTACAGGCATGAGCCACCGCACCTGGCTGAGTTTGACACTTCTAACCTTGGTATTGTTCCAGGGCCAACTGTATACACTCATGTCATCTGCAACCAGGGATAGTTTAACTTCCTCATTTCCAATTTGGATAACTTTCATTTCTTTCTCTTGTCTAATTGCTGTGGCTAGGAATTCAAATACTAAGTAGAATAGAAGTGGTAAAAGTAGGCATTGTTGTCTTGTTCCAGATCTTAAGGGAAAAACTTCCAACATTTCCCTGTTCAATATGGTGTTAGCTGTGGGTTTGTCATATGTGGCTTTTATTTTTAGTGAGGTAAATACTTTCTATACACAATGTGTTGTTTTTTATCATTAAGGGATATTGAATTTTGTCAAATGCCTTTTCTTCATCTATTGAAATGATCATATGGTTTTTGTCCTTCATTCCATTAGTGTTCTGTGTCACATTTATTGATTGGCATGTGTTGAGCTATTCTTGCATTCCTGGGATGAATTCCACTTGATCATAGTGAATAATCTTTTTAATCTGCTATTGAATTCTGTTTGCTAATATTTTGTTGATGATGTTTGCATTTGTGTTCAACAGGGCTATTCTTTTTAAATTATGTCCTTGCTTGGCTTTGGTATCAGGGAAATACTATCCTCATAGAATGAGTTTAGAAATATTGCCTCCTCTTCAATTGTGTTGACTAGTTTGAGGAAAATTGGTATTCATTCTTTAAATGTTTGGTACAATTCAGCAGTGAAGCCATCAGGTCCTGGGCCTTTCTTTGATGGGAGATTTTTATTACTGTGTCGATCTCATTACTCACTATTGGTCTGTTCAGATTTTCTATTTCTTCATTCTTTAATCTTGGAAGGTTGTATATGTCCATGAATTTATCCATTTTTTACAGGTTATCTTGATTTTCTGGCATAAAATTGTTTCTGATACTGTCTTGTGATGCTTTTTATTTCTATGGCATCAGTTGTAATATATCTTTTTTTGTATCTAATTTTATTTGAGTGTTTTCTATTTTTTTCTTAGGCCAGCTAAAGTCATCTCAATTTTATCTTTTTTTTTTTTGAAACAGGATCCTGCTCTGTCCCCCAGGCTACAGTGCAGTGGCACAACCATGGCTTACTGCAGCTCCCACCTCCTGGGCTCAGGTTATCCTCCTGCCTCAGCCCCACTGAGTATCTGGGACTACAGGTAGATGCCACCACATCTGGCTAATTTTTTAATTTCTTTATAGAGATGGAGTCTCACTATGTTGCCCAGGCTGGTCTTTCCTGGCCTCAAGCAATCCTCCCTCCTTGGCCTCCCAAAGTGCTGGGATTACAGGTGTGAACCACCAAGCCTGTCCTCTTTTTTCTCTTCTCTTTTCTTTATCTTCTTTTTTTCTTGTGATAGGATCTCGCTCTGTTGCCTAAGCTGGAGTACAGTAATGCAATCGTAACTCATTGTAGCCTCAAACTCCTGAGCTCACATGATCTTCCTGCTTCAGCCTCCCAAGTGGCTGGGACTACTGGTGCCTGCAACTACACCTGGCTAATCTTAATTTTATTTCTAGAGATGGGTCTTGCTTTGTTGCTCAGGCTGGTACAAACTCCTGGCTTCAAGTGATCCTCCCGATTTGGCCTCCCTAAAAGTACTAGGTTTATAGCATGAGCTACTTACTGTACCTGGGCTGTTTCATTTATTTGTACTCTTTATTATTTCTTTACTTTTACTAGTTATAGGTTTACTTGGGTTCTTAAATTTTTAATTCCTTTGGTGTATTATTAGGTTTTTAATTTGTGATCTTCTTTTTCAATGTAGACATTTATTACTATTAAAATTCCCTTTTAGAACTGTGTTAGCTATGTCCCAAGTTTTGATATGTTGTATTCACCATGTTGGGCAGGCTGGTCTTGAACTCCTGACCTTAGGTGATCCATCTGCCTCGGCCTCCCAAAGTGCTGGCATTACAGGCTTGAGCCACCATGCCTGGCCTGTATTCCCATTTTCATTTCTCTCAAGAAATTTTTAAACTTTGTTTTAATTGCTTTATTGACCCATTGGTCATGTTAGAGCATGTTGTTTAATTTCCATATATTTGTGAATTTTCAGAAGTTCCTGCTGTTACTGATTTC